AAGGTTTTGATTGAAGCTATTAGGATGGTATTGGGAATTGTTTATGATGAACGTTTTGTGACATTTTCTTATGGTGGTCGTGTTAATATGGGACGGCATACTGCCATTAGGTACCTTAAGAACTCTGTAGAAAACCCCAGTTGGTGGTTTAGTGTTGGATTTAACCGCGAAAAGTTTGATCAACGAAATGTGGATAAGTTGTGCTTATTTATGCAAGAGAAGATAGATGATGAGATTTTGATTGATGTTATAAAGAAGTTGTTTGAATGCGGCGCAGTGAGAATTGAATTGGGTGGTTGTTGCTTTGGAAGAGGGTTTCCTCAGGAAAGCGGGTTGAGTTCGATTTTGATGAATATCTACTTTAATGGGTTTGATAAAGAAATTCAAGAAATGCGTCTGAAGAAGAATCAAGAACATCCGAAATTTGATTCGACTGAACTTGTTTCGAAGCATGATGTGTTTTTTAAGCCAGTGAAGATATATGCGGTTAGATACTTGGATGAGATATTAATAATAACTTCTGGATCTAAGATGTTGACTATGGATTTGAAGAACTGGGTTGTGAAGTACTTAGAGGGAACACTGGAATTGAAGGTGGATGGGCTAAAAACAGCTATTCATAGTGCAGTTTCTGAGAAGATTGATTTTATGGGGATGGAATTACAGGCAGTTCCGCCTTCGGTTTTGAATCCCCCCATGTCAGAAAAGGCCATCAGAGCACGAAAAAAGTACCTAAGACAGAAGGAAGTCAGAGCTCTGGAATTGAGAAATGCTAGAGAGAGGAATAGGAAGAAATTGGGATTGAAAATAATGAGTCATGTTTATAAGAAGTTGAAGAGAAGTAGTGGGTTTAAATCTGAACATCAAATTGAGAATGAAGTCAGGGAAATCTTCAGAACCTGGGGTGGCGAGACAGTGCAAGAGTTTCTTGGGTCGTTGGAGGAGCGTTGGGAATGGTACCATAGTTTATCAGCAGGTGATTTTCTCTCTTTGAGGCACATTAGAGATCAACTGCCTCAAGAGCTTGTTGATGCTTATGATAACTTCCAAGGGCAAGTACACAAGCATTTGAACCCAGTCAAAGCTAGAAAGGCATTAGAGGAAAAAGAAAGGAGGGCAAAAGAAGAAGAGGAACAGAAATATGCTAAGGCCACAGTCGAGGATTTGGCAAAGCTCTGTGTGAAAGCCGATGCACCGATAGAACTTATTAGGAAGATGGTTAGGTTGATTGGGTTTACAAATCATATGGGTCGTCCCCAACCAATTAATTTACTAACTGCACTGGAAGATGGTGATATCATTAAGTGGTATGCGGGTATAGGGAGAAGATGGCTGGAATTTTACTGCTGCTGCCATAACTTCAAGATGGTCAAAACTGTTGTGACTTATCACATGAGGTTCTCTTGCATATTGACTCTAGCGGAAAAGCATGAATCCACCAAACGGGAAGCCATGAAACATTATACTAAAGATTTGAAGGTCTTTGATTTAGATGGAAACGAAGAAGTACACTTTCCCACAGAAAGGGATGTGAAAATGATGGGAGATAAAAATCTCTCTGATCCAAAACCTGTGGATGGGGCCTTATCTTTGGCTTTGATTAGATTAGCTTCTGATGAGCCTCCGTATTCATGTGTCGCTCATTTCTGCGACAGAACTGATACCATTGTTTATCGGGTACGACTACTGCAAAATCACTTGAATGTGAACCCCATGGATGAAAAGAAATGGATCCCTGGTTTGGGTGCAATTAACGAAAGCCTCAACTTGAAATGTTTTCCGGTTTGTCCTGATCATATACATGATTTATACATGGGGAAAATCACCTTTCAGGACATTGATTGTACTTCATTTGTGGAGGTAGACTGAGTTTTACATTCCTCTGGTTCGGTGTGTGATTAGGTCCTAGTCTTCAAGGGCCGTTGATGCGTTGAGGTTGAGAATTCTTGCGTCTGCTTAAGCCAGGTGTGTGATTTTTGTACATTATCTCCGTTGTGTATTAAGTAGTAGTGATAACAAGGAAACTTTTCGATAATATATGATTCCGCATCTTACATCTCATTTTGAAGACTAGAATTAAGTAGTAAACTAAAACTTCTCGCAGGCCGTTTGGATGGTAAATAACTTAGCTAATGAAATAGACCAGCGAAAATTGCTCTCTTTTCCCGAATTTTAAGACTTTGCATACCTCTACTTCAAAAACGGATTTTGCATATGGAAACCTAATTTTGTTTTCTTGTGTGATGAGGCGTCATAAGTTTCTTGTATTGTTGGAGATGTTAGTCTGCATAAGTTTGTATTATGAACTTAATTATTTGCATATCTCCTTTGTTGCACTAAACATTAGCAGTTGAAGTACTCAGCTCCTTCTGGTTATGAGGTCCCTGGATCTGGGATGTGAACGAGAAATTTTTCATTGTAATAGGAATACGAGTGGTACACCACATGTTTTTATGGAAGTGGTGGGAAATTTTATTTTTTAAGTTATTAAATTTTTAACACACAAATCCCACCATTTGTATAGTAACGTGGTGTATCACCTTGTGTGCCGGTCACACTGAAAAATCTCGACGTGAACGTCGAACGTTGAGCGAATGACTTTTTGGTTCATTCACCACGGTAGTTTGTTAGAGACAACATTCCCGTTTTTCCAGTAGTAAGTTTTATTCGTTTGCTCAGTGATTTGAAGTTCCTTTGTGCACAAAACTGAGAATACAAATCTCTGTAGCTCCTCCTGTACTCAAAAGAACTATTCTTCTTCGTCCACACTCCTTCTTCTTCTTCGTCCACGCTCGTATCCTGGTCTCAACTGGAATCAAACCCTCTTCCCCATTTTTGAAAGTTAATCACTCTGTAAGCTCGTTTCGATGACCTCGACAGCGCCGTTTCGGTTTTTGGTTCGATTCAAGAATCAAATACCATGTTGTGGAATTTAATGATGAAGTCCCATGTCGAATGTGGTCAGCGTTGTTACTGTACACAAGGATGCGTGAGTTGGGGGTTTCGCATGATTGCTTTACGTTCCTGATTGTAAACCCGCACGAAGCAAGCGGCGTATTGGACCAGCCCTGAGAATTTGGAGTCCTAGGCAAGTGTTCGAAGTGGGGCCCTAAAGTTCTCTAGCCCCGGGTTCTTTGTACATTGATATGTATAAAAAAGAATTTACTAAATACATAAAAAATAAAAAAAATAAAAAAAATAAAATTCTATTTCTATATCAAATATCATTAAAAATTAATATCAAAAGAAGATAAACATACAAACATTAGTTAAATATTATACGTCTCACGTTTTTATAAGAAAATGTACTAAAAGTTTGCAATCAAGAGTCTAAGATTGAGAGTAAAGAATAGTAAACTTGATGATCAAGAGAGTAAAGAACAATAAAACTTTAATGACAAGTATAGTAAATTCGACACGCCAATTGTTTCTCTAATTTTTTTTTCTTCTAAAATCAACATCACACTAATGAATTGAATATTGAAATAATCCAATGAATAATAAATTATTGAAAATCAAAATATAATTCAAAGTTTTGATTACCTTAAAGTACAATCTTCAAGATATAATTTGATGATGATCAATACAATGCATAAGAGCAACTTATAAAGGCTTGCTCAAGAAAACTAAAAGACAAGCAATAAAACCCTTGAAAAACCAAAAGACAAATAATAAAGCCTTTTGAAACTGACGAACTTTTGCAAAAGATGGCTCAAGCCACTTTTGTAGGAGATTTGAGCACCTCTTCTACGACTGCGTCACGATCCCAATTCTGATACCAGAATATTTATTGTTGCCTTATATGTCGTCATATCAAATCAATCCAACGTTTTCCTACATCAGGTTATGTTGCTTGAGGGTGACGTTATGTATGCAGGAATGGTTCATTTTGTGGCAATTCAAATGGGTTTTGGAATGAATGTGTATTTTGGTAATACAATGATTTATTTTTATGTGAAATGCAGAGGACATGGTTATGCTCGTAAGTTGTTTGATGAAATGTCTCAAAGAGATTTGGTTTCTTGGACTTTGACGATTTCCGGTTATGTTTTGAAGGGAATGTTGCCTGTGGGTTGTGCTTGTTCAATGAAATGAGGTTGCAGTACAATGTTGGTGATGTTGCAAGGGTGTTGTGGCATTGAAAGTGCAATATGTGGAAGTCAATTTCATGGTTATGTGATTAAGAACGGTTTACTGTGTGATGCATCTGTGCAGAACTCAATCTTCAGAATGTATGCTAAATTACGCACTGTCTACGAAGTTGAAGACTTTTTCAGCGAACTTGCTAGAAGGGATGTTGTCTCCTGGAATATCTGAATTTCCTTTTATTCTTTGAGAGGGGATGTTGCAAAAGTAAGAGATTTGTTCAATGATATGCAGGGCAAAGTGGCGCCGGGAATTAAGACATTAACTTTGGTTATATCAGTAGTGGCCAAACATGGTATTCTTTCCCAAGGTGAAAGCTTGAATTGTTTGACGATAAAACGTGGGTTACGTGATCACGTTCTGCAGACGTCTTTGTTGGACTTCTATGCCAAGCGTGGACAATTAGCAAACTCAGATTGGCTGTTCAGAGCAATCCCTTGCGGGAACAGCATTACTTGGTAAGGCGGTGTTTCGCGGCCGGATAATGCGACAGCATGGACGACTTGTCAAAATAGGGTGGTAGGAAAGAAAATGCAGGTACTGGTCAAAGGGGGTACTCTGGAGCACTCAAGAATTTTTGTTGGTCGAAATGCAATTTCTCCTTCATACTTTCACGATTGATTTTCATGATAATAACAGCTCCCTTTACATTTCACCGCATAAAACGCAGAATTTGAAACATGTTTCCTTACATGCACTCTCATTTACGTTCCCCAAATAAAACACTTTAATTGATATTTGAATAGGGGAATGATTTCCGTACTCCCTCTTTTTGTTATCAGTAAGCCAATCAAAGGAGAATCAATAGGCATAAACAATGGGATGAGCGCAGAAGGCGAAAAGAGCGAAAATCATTACCCATTTACATACCATCTTCGAAATTGAAGACAGTGAAACAGACCAAGTGTGTTAACGAGATGGTAATTATAAACGAAATACAGAAAACTAGATTGGGGCGGAAATCTGTGCTTACAAATGGTTCTATAATTTTGGTCTAAGCCATCCGTCAGTATCCGTTCAGGTGTTGCGGGATTATCAAGTGGAAACCACTCATTAGACCCTACTTCTGCTCTTTGCAGCTATAATGGCGTCTTTGATGGCAAAAAGGACGGCGGGTGCCAAGAAAATTGGTGCCTCACCAACACTTTAGATGAGTGGATGACCTTCACATTTGGATGGCCCTGTCAATTAGCAAAGAAAACAGCAAACATATGAAGCACATGGCTAACCACCCAATGGAAGCCTCAAGTAGTTGAAAGGACATTCACCTACCGCAAAACCCAAGCTACTTGCTAATGACACTCCCTATGTTCAACCCCACCCATAACAGTTAAAAAAATTCACTTTCAGAGTAATTTTTAATTGATAACACACTCTTCCAAAGTTTTCAGCATACCTTCAGAAGTGGAACGCTAAATTTGAAGGGGACATCATTTATGCAGGAAATCTTGTAACTTCCAGGCCCATATGTGTAGAGGCAACCGGGCGAGATCCATTTACAAGCAGGATCGCCCCCCTTTAGTTCTTCTAGAGCTACGAATCCCAAACCTTGTATCCGTTCTTCATAAATTTCTAGACACTATGACGGGCCATTATATCCATTCTTCATAAATGAATCCTCATCATTTTGTAGAGTCCAAAATCTGACGAAATATAATCAGAAGACATCATGGGACATTCTCGAATCTGATCAGCCAAGAAAGGGACAATTTTGTAGTGAAGAAAGGCTCATGTAAACAACACTATTAGCAGCAGGAATATACACAACGAGAAAAGATAGTTTCGTGATCGTTTTAATAGTCAACCTAACCAATTACCTTTGTGGAAACGCGCTAAAACATACATAACATGGTCTAAATAGACATGGGACTTCCTTTGTTTTCTTATGATTAATCCAAAAGCCTTGCCTTCAGTTTGCACATATGGTGACGAGACCTCACCCAGCATATCATCAAATGCCTCAACAATAGTGTCCACTATAACAGCGTCGCATTCATCAGTCTCTGTTCAGAGTTGCAAGTACAACTTCTAAAATCTAGTGTGTCTTCAACAAAAAAGGCTTGCTTCACTTGCTTAGCTCAAACAAATCACAGATTGTTGTGACAATGACCTTATTCATTCGTTTATTACTTGTGGACTTTTAGTACACTTCAACCCCTTCAAATTAGATCAGAGAATTTCTAGCTAAAACCTTTGCATAACCTATTAGCTAGCTATCTGTCATATTTCTGCAATCCATTCATATATTCCTGCAACCCATTCACACGCAAAAGATCCTTGGAAACTAAATTAAAGTAGATAACTCTCCCAACCACCACTTTGTATCCAAAAAACCAGATGAGAAAAATTAGGTAAGGCTTTAGGTAATTCTCAGTCCATCAGTAGCATCATTCGTTTCCTTAAACTAGTAAAATAAAGATATTGTACCTGAAAGAATAGAAACCGTCTTTATGGCCCTTGCTTGGCTTTGAGATAATGCAAATCCAACTTCAGTAAAACCGTCCGCAAGAACAATTAAAACTTTAATAAGAAAATGAAGAATTCGACCAATCACAGATTGAGACTTATGTGCTACTTAGACCCATCTGAGTAAATATTCCTAGGAGTGAAACTAAGAAACTTATATGATCCGAGCAAACCCCATCAACGACGATATTCTATTTAGCAATGTAATTAGAAAGTAAATGCAGTCATAGGAAGGACAATATGAAAAAGAAATTTGAACTCGATTAATTCAAAAGAAAACAACGGACATAAAATCAATTACTCAACTCATCAAAGCCACATTCCAACTACTTGACGTGGAAAATGAATCCCATATTCTTAGAGTCAAATAATTTGCAGGGCCTTATAGATGAATCGGTTTATCAGTTTTCCATTGATTTCCCGCATCAATAACTTGGAGTTATCAACACCGTGTTTGCTTTCATAAAGTATATAACTACACAGTTCATGCCTGTGTGCTGGCTTGAGCGATCTTAATTCAACGAGGGGGATATCGAATTTGAGACCTACTGAAGCTCTCCCTCGCTGGCTGGACATGATTCCACCAAAAGTCTGAGAGAACTACTTTCAGAACATCCCAGTATTCTGCGTCCCGATACCCGGAATAGGCTGCTTCCTTTAGGAGTCCAAACATAGAAATCCATCCAATCCCTGTCGAGTATTTCCATTAAACCCTGAGCCTGTGGAACACAGTATAGAGAAATTCGTGACCAAGGGGTAGCCTTGTTCATGTTCCATCAAAAAATGGACACTTAATCTCCAGTACTCCTCGTGAAGGCAATCCGTATACTAGCCTATCAACCATTCCATTTGGTGAAGCTCCTAGCCAATCCTCTCCAGCATTCCTATTACCATAGACTTGAAATTCAGGAAACAAAACGGAATTTCCTGTTATCAGCTTGTATCTTTCAAGTGCTTCCCCTTCTTTGATATTGCTCCAACAGGCAGCCAAATTACCCGAAAATGGCTCAATTGCTCCAATCTTCTCTAGCCAAAGCTGGAGTCTTCTGCGATGAAAAAAACCAACTGCCGCAGCAAAAGTGCAGCTGTCAATTTATTTTTCCTTAGTCCTTGCCAATTTTTGAACCAGTGCTGAAGGCCGCTTGAATTAATTACGGAATAACCTTCAGAAGAAGCAAATCTCATAGAGTAACAAGAAGGTTTGAGAACTTATCTGTGGTTAGCAAGCAGAATAGGAGCCAGAACTGAAAAGAACTAGTCACTGTAGCTTCTCCAACTAGTAGCATATGTAAGAAGAAAACTTTTTTATTTTCCGGCAATCCCAATAAAACGACAAACAGCAAGGAGAATGTGGTGGCGCGGGAAACACCCGAGCTAGGAAAAACATCCCAGCTCTACACACGAACTCAATAGGAAATATGGCTGAAGATCGGATTGAGGAAGAGATGGGGAGAGGTATACTGATAAGAATTGAAGAAGAGGACAAGCCAGAGGGAAAAAAAGGGAGAAACATCAATAGAAATGAAAAGAAAAGATGAAGAAGAAAAGAGGAAAGAGGATATGGCAACCGACCCCAGCCAAAGATAGGACCCGTGCCACCGGAGGAATGGAGAAGGGAAAGGCTCACACAAATGGCGAGAAAAGCTCTCACTTTTGGAGAGAAAAGCTTGGAGGATGAAAAGTATTGGAAGAAGTGCCATAAATCAAGGATTTGCTTTTCCATATTTTCTGATTCCATGTTTGCTGCTTCTTTCTTTTTCTTGTTTTGTTGCTTTTTGCTTTTCCTTGTTTTGCTGATTTCCTTTTCCCTTGTTTTTCGGCTTCTGTTTCTTTTCCTTTCTTTAACTTTCTGTTGCTTTTTCTTTCGCTCATTTATATGAGCTCCTTGTACTTTGTTTTCACATATACAAAATATAGACATTCAAAATTCAACATGGTATCAGAGCAGTGATCTCTATCGACCTGCTTCTGAGTACCGTCTCCTTGTTTCCCTTTCTTCTCCATCATGGCTGAAGAGAGCTCCGTGCATGACGAAAAAGTAAACTCGCATGCTGCGTCTTCTTCATCTCATCTAGATGTTGATATCAATCCAAATCAACGTCTCAGTTCGGTCCTACTAAATGAGTTCAACTATCTCCCGTGGGAGAGAGCTGTCTCCCTTGCGTTAGGAGGACGATCGAAACTTGGTTATGTTAATGGCGTGATTCCAGCACCTGATGTGTCCTCATCCGATTACAATGATTAGCTGTGCAAGGACCAGCTGGTCATGTCATGGCTGCTCAACTCTATGGATCGAAAGATTGCAGAAATCTTCAGTTATGCGGAATCTTCATACGTTCTCTGGAAAAATCTCAAAGAGATGTATGGAAATCAGAATAACGCAGCTCAAGTGTTCCAGCTAAAGAAGGATATTGCTAGTCTACAACAGGAAGGGAACTCGTTTGTGCATCATCTTGGCAAGTTGACCACCATGTGGAATGAGTTGAATGTTTATTGGCCACACACCATTGACGCTACCGTGTTGATCAAGAGAGCTGAGGAAGACAAAATCTTTCAGCTTCTAGCAAGTTTGAGCTCTGAATACGAAGATCTCAAGAGTCATGTTCTCATGAATCCTGAACTTCCTTCATTCTCAAGTGTGTGTGCCACTATCCAAAGGGAAGAAACTCGCAGAAAAATCATGACTGTGGAATTAAAGTCAAATATACCAGAATCTAGGGTATATTTCTCAAATCACAAGTCTAGTGAAGAGAGGAGATATAAAGGAAAGAAACCCACTGTGAAGTGTAGCTATTGTGATAATGGTGGACATACACGAGATCATTGCTGGATTCTCCATCCTGAACTAAGGCCCAAGCATTCGAGGGACAGCAACAAGAGCTTCATTAGAGGAGCACACAACTCATCACCCAAGGCAAATCATACCATGACCTCTCATTTCGAGGAAGCACAGATGTTCACCTCTAATCCGGCCATGCTGATAAATGAATTTGCTGCCTTCCTTCACAAGAAACAAGGTGGTGGGGAGAATGAAGGATCAACCAGTCATGTTGACAACAAACCAGCTGCTCTACTTGGGCAGTTTGCTGGTTTTTTGGCTGGGAAAGAAGGCGTGACACAACAAGATATTCCAGGTATCTTACGATCCTTCTCAACTGCTCTTAAAATAGGTAATATGCATGATTATTGGATTATAGATTCAGGAGCCACTGATCATATGACCAACAAGTCCACAAATCTGTATGATTTTAAAAAACTTTCACGTCCATCCCAAGTGTCAGTTGCTAATGGCAAGGGTGCCATGGTTGTAGGGAAAGGAAAAATACATTTGATCTCTAGTAATGTCGAGTCTGAGGCCCTATATGTTCCTTCATTCCCTTTTCAGCTTTTATCTGTTGGAAAAATCACAAACTCACTAAACTGTACTGCCATCTTCTCTCCAAAAACTGTGATTTTTCAGGATATCACCACCAAGAAGATGATTGGTGAAGGTTTTTTTCTAAACGGCCTTTACTATCTTTTCCAGCATGCTCAAACTCCCAAGGCTTTTCAAGTCACCTCAAGCCTGATTCAGGAACAACAACTTTGGCACCGACGCCTTGCACATCCTTCTGATAAAGTCCTATCCTTTTTGTTTCCAAACTTGTGCAAGGTTACAAGTTCTTGTGATGTGTGTCATTTTTCTAAATTCACTAGATTACCTTTCACCTCCTCTCTATCTAGGGCTAGTAACCCTTTTGAAATCGTGCATTCCGATGTTTGGGGACCAGTTCTAGAGTCCTTTGACGGATACAAATACTTTGTAACCTTTGTGGATGATTTCACAAGGATAACTTGGTTATATCTTTTGAAATTTAAAAATGAAGTGTTGGAAGTTTTTCAAGATTTTCATAGACTTGTAAACACTCAATTTGCTTCAAATATTCATGTCTTACGATCAGATAATGGCTCTGAATATATGTCCCATAATATGTCTCATTATCTAAGCACACATGGCATACTACATCAAACCAGTTGTGTTGGAACACCCCAACAAAACGGGGTAGCAGAAAGGAAGAATAGAGACCTACTTGAAAAAACTAGGGCCATGATGTTTCACTCAAATGTGCCGAAAAAATTCTGGTCTCAAGGTGTTCTTACGGCTGCATATTTTACCAATAGATTGCCCAGTAAGGTTTTGAATTTTAAATCACCCTATGAGATTCTAAAAGGCAGACAAATCGATTTGTCACACTTACGAGTGTTCGGATGTACATGCTTTGTTCACATTCAAGCACAAAAACGTGACAAGCTAGAACCACGGGCTGCCAAATGTGTTTTCTTGGGCTACTCTTCCACTCAAAAGGGTTACAAATGTTACAATCCCGCAACTAAGAAAATGGTTGTTTCAAGAGATGTAAGATTTGAGTAACCAATGCCTTACTTCACTCAACCTCTGGACTACTCTCAAGAGGGGGAGAACATGCTTGACTTGTTTCCAATACCATATCCATGTAAAGAAGACGCAACGGGTGTCATAAGGGACGAAATACTGAATGAGGTCCATTCTCAGTCTCACAACCTACAGAACACACCACCAGTGGCACCTGATGAACTTATCTTATCTGAACCCTCAAGAAGTCCCTCCAACCAAGAGACTGCTCAACTACCAGTGGTTCAACCTCCCACAGTTCGTCGAAATCCTTCCCGTGAGAGGAGACTCCCATCCAAGTTAAATGATTATGTAACTTACAATGTCAGGCATCCCTTAACTTCCGTTATTGATTACAGCAAAGTGTCACCTTCATTTGTTGCATTCCTCAATACAGTTACTGAGACCTATGAACCTCAAAGCTTTCAAGAAGCTAAATTACATAGCGAATGGAGAGCTGCTATGGCAGAAGAGCTTCAAGCTCTTCACGAAAACAACACCTGGACCATCATGAAGCTTCCTAAAGGAAAGAAGGTTGTAGGAAGTCGTTGGGTGTACAAGATCAAGTTCCATTCAGATGGCACGATTGAAAGACACAAGGCTCGATTGGTTGCTCGTGGATTTACTCAGACTTATGGAGTAGATTACAAAGAGACCTTTGCACCTGTGGCAAAGATGAATACAGTGAGGGTGCTGTTATCTGTTGCCATTAACAATACAAGGCCTCTCTTTCAAATGGATGTTAAAAATGCCTTTTTACATGGGGAACTAGAAGAAGAAGTTTTCATGCAAATCCCTCCGGGTCATCCTCAATCAAACAATCCAGACCTGGTGTGCAGACTTCATAAAGCCATTTATGGCCTCAAGCAAAGTCCCCGAGCATGGTATGCCAAGCTCAGTCATGTCCTAGAGGGAGTTGGTTTCTCTCGGAGCAATGCTGATTCCTCCCTATTTGTGCGATCGGGCAAATCTGGTAAACTTGTGGTGCTTATTTATGTCGATGACCTAATTGTTACAGGTGATAATGTTTCTGAGATTAGTGCTCTTAAACAATATCTCAGTCACAAATTTGCTATCAAAGATCTCGGCACTCTTAAATATTTCTTAGGAATCGAGGTGGCACATTCCCACAAGGGCTGTTTTATAAATCAGCGCAAGTACATCATTGATCTTCTCCATGAGGCAAACATGACAGATTGTAAACCTGCTCGGACACCTTTGAATAGCAACTTGAAGTTGCAGTCTCATGGTGATATCATTCCTAATATAGAGTATTATCAGAGATTGGTTGGCAAGCTTATTTACCTAACTATCACTCGTCCTGATATATCATATGCTGTGAGCCTTGTTAGTCAGTTCATGCATGCTCCAAACACAGATCACATGAAGATTGTTCACCGTGTGCTTCGCTATCTGAAGGGTTCCATTGGTAGAGGGATCCTCATGCGCAATAATGGTCATACTCAGATCTCGGGATATACAGATGCAGATTGGGCAGGGAACTCTCTCGATCGCAAGTCTATCATTGGTTTTTGCACATTCGTAGGGGGTAATCTTGTCACCTGGAAGAGCAAGAAACAAAGTGTGGTTGCACGCTCAAGTGCAGAGGCAGAATATCGTGCTATGGCATCAACGACATGTGAACTCACTTGGCTCAAAACTCTACTCTCGGATCTAGGGTTTCCTCACCCGCAACCTATGTCCCTTCACTGTGACAATCAAGCAGCAATGCACATCGCATCAAATCCTGTCTTTCATGAGCGAACTAAACACATTGAAGTTGATTGTCATTATGTTCGGAATCAAGTGCAGTCCAAGGTAATTGCTACACACTTCATTCGCAGTCATGACCAGCTAGCAGATATCTTCACCAAAGGACTGGCATTTACTACTTTTCATCATCTCCTATCCAAGCTCGGATCAATTGATCCCTTTGATCCAGCTTGAGGGGGAGTATTGGAAGAAGTGCCATAAATCAAGGATTTGCTTTTCCATGTTTTCTGATTCCATGTTTGCTGCTGCTTTCTTTTCTTGTTTTGTTGCTTTTTGCTTTTCCTTGTTTTGCTGATTTCCTTTTCCCTTGTTTTTCGGCTTCTGTTTCTTTTCCTTTCTTTTCCTTTCTGTTGCTTTTTCTTCCGCTCATTTATATGAGCTCCTTGTACTTTGTTTTCACATATACAAAATATAGACATTCAAAATTCAACAAAAAGGGATAAGCTAGGTAGTACAATTTTGCGGAAAGCTTCTTCCCGCCTTCTATTCGCTTGTGGTCTGGCTTTATGTTTGAAATAACTTGGCCAAAACGTTGCGTTGTGAGCCAAGTCAATTGAAATAAAAAAAATAAAAAAAAGCCAAACTCTTAAATCTCCACGTAAGGCTTTCCTTACCAGACCCTGGAAGGCTTTTACCCGACGTCCGATATCATGCATTCCCAAATTCTGATTATCTAATCTCCAATTCCCAAATTAAAATTGATGTGTATTTGATGGAAATCTTGAATTTAAAATAGAATATAACTAATGCTATAATTAATGGGATGCAATTTCTGATTTTTTTTTATATTAATTTGCTCATTGATGCAGGAATTATACGCGCATAAATTAAACCCTCTTTTTGTCAATTGTAGCAAGTACGTAAGTAGGGATCGTTCTGGACCGGGGATTAGGAGGGATTGTTAATCTCTTGGAAACTGACTCAAAAACGTAAAAACAAGATAAAACACTAAACTAGACTCAAAGAATGTGAAACTAAACGTTAAAACACTAAGACAAACCAAAAGACTCAAAATGCTTTAAAAACACAAACTAAATTGATTTCTAACTAAATTGAACAATAAAGTAAAGGGGGATTGGATTTGGATGACTTTAAACTAAAAATGGAAACTTGGAAATAAAACAAATTGTAAATATGGATTTGACGGAAATGAATGGATGGGATGGCTAGCTAAGGGGTTCATCTCCATACATGTTATACTTGCATATAAAACGAATCTAATTGCTTTTCAATAAACCATGAATTCTCAACGCCCCGGGTTAATTAGGTCCGCTTAAATTAACCGTCAAGTTTTCCTTAAGTTAATGAATTGGATGATTGCATATGACAACCCAAAGCATTCCTCACAAGTTCCCTACATGAATTGCATAATAGAGATACAAGCAAGAATCATTAAGCATCATGAAAACTATAAGTGTTGACGAGGCATTCGTTACTATGATTGCATGAAACTTATGCCAAGAATTTGTTTAACGCGATTGTTTATAAGCAACCTCCACTACTTGTGAATATAAGTTCATAACTATTACGTGAAACTCACTTATATTCTAGCGTCAAATTCATGCATGAAAATTAAGCGTCGACTCTCAATAAACATACATAAATAGGTTATCAATCAAATAGTTAAACAAATTGAATTCACAACTTATGAAACGTAATTAGAAGTACTCAAATCATATTGCAAGCATAAACATATATTTCGAATCACCCCCGAGCTAAAGGGGGTTTAGTTCCTCATACGTACAAAACAAAGAGAATTGAAATTAAACATTGAAATCGAAGAAACACCTAAACATTCCAACAACTCAAACTTGAATTGTATGAACGTTTAGGCCCTCTTCTCTTCCTCTTCTTTGTAGCATAAGGTCTAGGGATAATTGGTTGGGGGGATGGAAGTGTTGGGGAATTATGGAAATGGATGAGGAGTGGTGGAAATGGAAGATGGTTTTTGGATTCTAAGGGAGACTCACGGCACAAGGGAGAAAGGGATGTGTTTGTGGCTGTTTTGTGTATGAAATGAGATGATGCAAATGAATGAAGTGTGTGTGGTTTATATAGGGAGAGAATGGATGGGAGAGCATGTGAATGATAGCTAGGAGAATGATTAAAGGGGTGTGAATGGTTGGAAATGCATGTGAGTTAAAGAGGGAGAATGTGGTGAAATGATGAAGTAGGAAGGTGGAAATGCATGTGAATGCATGTGAGTGCATGTGTGTGTGAATGGGTGGGAACAAAGGGGGAAACATGGCACAAGGGTGCTTGAGTGTGTGAAGTGTTTGCATGTGGATGTCAACTAGGAAAGTGGGAATGCATGTGGAAGAAATTGCATGTGGAAAGGTTGTGAAAGCATGTGAATGCATGTGTTGATTTAAAGAATAGGTATGCATGTGAATTAGGTTGGAAAGAGGTGGG